CTTCATGCACTAGTCAAAACCCCTTCCCAGGAAGCGACAGCAAGCAGCAGCAGCGCTGGGATGCGTGGGGTCTTGGATCCACCCTTGCACCATTCTGCTGTAGAAGGATGCGGGATGTGGAGATGGGCCCTTGTGAGGGACTACCAGGAGTTTAGGGATTTTATTTATTTAAAAATATATTTTATTGATTTTTTTTTTTTTTTTTTTTTTTTTTTTACAGAGAGGAAGGGTAAGGGATAGAAAGTTAGAAACATCTATCAGAGCTGCTTCCTGCACACCTCCTACTGGGGATGTGCCCACAACCAAGGTACATGCCCTTGACCAGAATCAAATCTGTAACCTTTCAGTCTGCTGATAGACCAGATCCGGGACACTCTTCAGGGCAAACCAGTCGCTGATAGACCTGATGCTAGACCTTTATCTGCTGATAAACCTTTCAGTCTGCTCAGTATCCACTGAGCCAAATCGCTTTCACTAGTTTAGGGATTTTAAAGCACTTTCAGTTCTGAAGGGCACAGGGTGAAGTAATAACCTTTTAACTATCCATCCGTGTTTATTCAAATTGTTTGCCCAGGGCTGCTTTTAACAGTTGAATCAGAGGCCAACATACCCAGCTGAGCATTCCTCTTTTGCTTAAAGTAATTCTTTCTGGACCCAAATCTCTTGTTGTCAATGGCAGAGTCTATTGCCTTTTTGTGACCTAAAGCTTCCTAAAGGCCTTGGCTCCATAAGCCCTTCAGGTGCTGAGGGCTATGTAGCAGCTTGGTTTTGTCTTAACTCTAGAGCATCACCTGGACCTGTCGGCCATGAGTCAGACAAACTTGTTTCACTGGATCGATAGCAGGGTCCTGGGCCCAGTCTACAGGTCAGAGTGCCTGTCTTTTCTACATGCACATCTTTCCCCCTCTACTGCTAGCTGACCGAATAGGGATAGGTATTTGACTAAAAACTGGCTCAGATGTTTTCTCCTAAAGCTTCATATGGGGCTAATGGAGGTTGTCTCTGTGTAAGCTTGGGAGTTGCGGGCCAGCCCTTTCCCACCTCATGTGGACAGAGTAGCAGAAACAATTGGTCTCTTAGGGGAGCACACAACACAGAAATGGAGAGCTGCAGTTCCTCGTCCATGGGTCCAGGATCTCCCCATGGCTCAATTGTTTCTATTCTTGGGTTCCATAAGACACCACTTGTGCTCTTAATACATGTTTGCTGTTGCTTAAGCTAGCCCATTGGTCCGTTATTTCCAACAAACTGAAAATACAGGGATAACACCGAGGTAGCCCTCAATTAAAATAGTAACAATCTGTTATACTGACTCCAGCCACCTGCAGCAAAGAAGCAGGTGGGAGTGTATATATGGGACCTGCTTTTCCTAGAGGGAGCTGGCAAACAGTGGATATTGGAATTAAGCTTATGTCAACATAGTCTCATTCACTCGTACATAAAACCAATAGTTTACTTATTATTTCCACAAATAGTAGTAAGACTTCAAATGCTTAAATAAGGGACCTGGGGCCATAAAACAGCAATGAAACCCAAGGTGCCAACCCAGCCGAATTTTTTTTTTAATGTGGCAAATATAAAATTTACCGTTTTAACCATTTTTAAGTGTACACTTCAGTGGCACCAAGTACATTCACAATGTAACCATACCACTATTTCCAGAAAAATTTTGTCACCCTAAACAGAAACTCTGTCCACCCCAGGCTCTAGTTATCCTTTTTTTTTTTTTAATCCACAGCATTTATGGATTACATTTTAATTTTAAATATATTTTATTGATTTTTTACAGAGAGGAAGGGAGAGAGCTAGAGAGCTAGAAATGTCAATGAGAGAGAAACATCGACCAGCTGCCTCTTGCACACTCCCTACCGGGGATGTGCCCGCAACCAAGGTACATGCCCTTGACCGGAATTGAACCCAGGACCTTTCAGTCCACAGACCGATGCTCTACCACTGAGCCAAACCGGTTTCGGCGCCCTAGTTATCCTTAATCTACTTTCTATCTCTATGAATTTACTTCTTCTAGGCATCTCATGTAATTGGAATCATAGAGTATTTTTTTCTTTTGTTTCTGGCTTATTTCACTTAATATCTTCAGGCTTCGTCTGTGTTGTATGTAGAATGTGTATTAATGTATCATTTCTTTTTAGTATGAAATAAAATTGCATTGTATAGCTATACCACAAGTTATTTATCCATTCATGTGTTTGTTGATGGATAGTTGGGTTGTAGCCACCTTTTGGTTATTGTGAATAACGCTACTAGGAACATTAGTGTTCTTTTTTTTTTTTTTTTAAAACACTAAGAAAGAACCCAAACTGAATTAAGGGCTGGAGAATAAAAACAGGTTTCTTATGCCTCTGTACTTATCCTCTCATAGTGTTTATCTCCCTCTGTAGCAATTGCCTGCCTAACTTTGAACTGCCCACTACATTGCAGACATTCTGAGTAGAGCCACGTCTCCCACATTGGTGGCTCACTGAGTGCTCAACCCAATTAAGCTGAACTTCACTTCCCAGCATGCCCCTCCTGAATGGTGCTGGTTAGAGTGGAGCAGGAGGAGACCCAGAAGATCCTTGTGGGAGGAGGGAAATAAAGCAGCAGCCATTTTGTAGCTCAAATTGTTGCTTTTTTGCTGGCTCACTTCAGCTTCCTCAACATCAGAGGAACAAGAGCCCATACAGATTTGTCTGTCTCCATGGGCTTGTGCTTGCGAATTCTAGCTTGTTTTTGCCCTCCTGTCCCCAATTCACTTCCATTTGTCCTTCCTGTCTGTCTGTGGGCTTCAGGCTCCAGCATCAGATGCAAGGACAATGTCTTACAGAGTCTGCTTAGCCAGCTCCAATGATTGTAGCTAGTCTCTTTCTCTCTCCATAATATTTAATACTAGAGATGGGGGGGGGGGTAGGGGGAGGGAGAGGGGATGTTTCTCAGCCCAGCTTGCACCCTCTCCAATCTGGGATCCCTCGAAGGATGCCCGACTGCCAGTTTACAGGAATCAGGCCTATACCAGCAGTCAGACATCCCTCTTGCAATTAGGGACTGCTAGCTCCTAACTGCTCACCTGCCTGTCTGATTGCCCCTAACCACTCTGCCTACTGGCTTGCTGGCCTCCAATTGCTCCCTGCCGCCAGCCTGCTCATCCCCAAATGCCCTCCCACCCTGCCAGACTGATCACCCTCAACTACCCCTGTGCCAGTGTGTTTGCCCCCAACTGCCTGCTCACCCCTAACTATCCCCCCTGCTGGCCTGCTCATTCCAAACTGCCCCCCACCCACTGTCCTGATCACCTCCAATTGACCCTCACTGGTGGCCTGCTAGCCCCCAACTGGCCCCCTTGTTGGTCTGCTTACTCCCAACGGCCCCGCCCCCCCACCAGCCTGATCACCCATAACTGCCCTCCCCTCTTGGCCTCTAACGGCCTCTATCTCTGCCCCGCCACCATGGCTTTGTCCATAAAAACAGAAGGTATCCCAGTCTAATTACCATATTACCCTTTTATTAGTATAGAGGCCTGGTGCATGGGTGAGGGCTGGCTGGTTTGTCCTGAAGGGTGTCCCGGATCAGGGTTGGGGTTCCCTTGGGGTGTGGGGTGGCCTGGGCGAGGGGACTGTGGTGGTTTGCAGGCTCGCCATGGGGTGAGGGTCTCCATTGGGGGGCATGGCCAGCATGGGTGAGGGGCTGAGGGCTGTTTTCAAGCTGGCCACAGCCCCTTCAGGGTGGGGGTCCCTGGCCAGTCTGGGTGAAGAGCTGATGGCTGTTTGCAGGCTGATCCTCCACCCCGCCCCCACGCAACCCAAGCTCCCAGTCCCTCCTTTTTTTTTCTTGAGTGACTCCTTGAGCAGAGGCCAGGGCCAACTGGAAGCAGGTATCTGGGATTTATTTATCTTCTATAATTGAAACTTTGTAGCCTTGGGCAGAGGCCAGAGATGGCCAGGGAGGGTGAGAAGCTTGGCTTCCTCTATCACTGGAGGCAACCCAAGATTCCTGCTTATTCCAGCTCTGGGGCCACCACTATCTTGATTCGGTTAATTTGCATACTCACTCCTGATTGGCTGGTGGGTGTAGTGGAGGTATGATCAATTTGCATGTTTCTCTTTTGTTAGTGTAGATCCTGCTTCTTGGATCAAACCATAATGGGTACACACTCATTTATCAACCAACAAATGTTAACTGATAATAAATACTGAGCAGCTACTATGCACCAGACACGAGGTTCTAAGAGCTGGGAGAAGAGTAGTGAATAAAACAAAGTCCCTGCCAGCAGGGATCTCACATTTACTGTTGTACTTTCAAGACACAACACACTGCTGCAAGAAGGGTTCTAGTGTTGATCCTATTAGCAGTTGTGTGACCTTGGGTCAGAATCCCTTCATCTCTCCACACTTTTTTTTAATTAGCAAGGTAGGAAGACTAACCTTCCAGCCTACTTTTCATGTAAATGCAGTTAAAGCAGAAAGCAGTTGAAAGACATCTGAGAAATACATAGCTCTAAAAAAAAAATAAAGGAAGCCATGAGATCCCAAAACCAGTCCAGGATATTGTCATAATCTTTTATTATGTATCAAATTGTCTTCAACATAAGTTACAATCTGATTAAATTTGATAGACATTTTTTAAAATCTATTTAAAGAAAAAAAAATCTCTTTATGTACAATATCTTTTGTCTAGAGTCTAGCAAATATAGTACCTTTCATTGCAGGATTTCTGCCTAACATAATAAGCAAAAACAAACGACCAAAAATTATAAACCAAAGCAAAACAAGTCCCTCAATCTCTCAACTATCCATATGAACAAAGCATTAAAAAGATAAAAAAGAATAACATTTTTTCTTGTTTATAATTGCAGAATGAATACTAAAAGTTAGTGGCAAAAAAAAAAAAAAAGAAAAAAAGAAAAAACAAACAAAAAATAATAACAACAAAAATAAAACCCCAGGAAAATAACCATCTATCTTCAGGGGTAAACTTTCCTGCTCAGGAATGAATGCACGCTGACTCTAGACCATCTCTCGGTTTCTTCGGATAGCACAGCACAGGATCATACTGAAGATCATGCCAAAGATCTGGAAGACAGGGAGGAGTAGGAGGAACAAAGTGGCTTTTGATGAGGAAAAGACATGAGTCATTCAGACCAAGACAAAGGACTAGGACCGTGGTAGGCAAACTGTGGCTCAGAAGCCACATGCGGCTCTTTGGCCCCTTGAGTGGGGCTCTTCCGCAAAATACCATGGCCTGGGTGAGTCTATTTTGAAGGATGGAGTTAGCAGAAGTTTAAATTTTAAAAATCTGGCTCTCAAAAGAAATTTCAATCATTGCACTGTTGATATTTGGCTCTGTTGACTAATGAGTTTGCCGACCACTGGACTAGGAGAATCAGAGGCCAAATGAATTAAATGTCAAAGCAGGGAAGTGTAGGCTAGATAATGGGAAGCATCACTGACAGGTATGATTTCGAGAGCCTGCAGCCACTTGCTAATGCAAGTAACCTCCCTGGGTGAGACAAATACCCTCAGAGCTAAATTGAATGCTCACATTTAGATATTTTCATAGTCCACACAGGCTGGAACTTTCACTTCCACCTTTGTGTTTTTGCGAGTTTTATATTCTATTTTAAAAGGTATGGTTTTCTCTTTTACTGAAAGCTGTGCCAAGCTTTTCTAGATGCAGATGAGAGGTACCAATAACCATTTAGAAAGCAAGCAATTCTCTTTTGGAGTAGTCTTGTGAGGGGCAGACGAGGGCTCTGTGTCCCTTAAAGAGTTCTCATAATGTCCTACTGGGGGAAGAAGGGGAGACCTCAGGGGACCTCATCGACCCTTGATGGTTCCTGGGAGCTGATTACTAGAGAGTACACTATTTGATGCTTTGGGCTGTCCACTCTGGATGCCTTTCAAACTACAGAGGGAGATGAAACAATTCACATCCATGTAGCTTTTACTGAACTACTACTTTTTTTGGAGAAAGAAGAGCAGGCTCATGATGAAAACATGTCTCAAAGATCATCCCAGGATAACTAGCAGGTCTGGGGTGATCCAGACCCTTGCACAGTCCGTGGACCAGCAGCAACGGCTTCACCTTACATTTACCTCTGAACCTCAATAGTTCAGAGAGTGGATTTGAACACCAAGTTCAAATCCCAGAAACTTCACTCATGAGCTCAGAGACCTTGATCAACTTATTCAACCTTTCTGTCTCTCTGTCCCTTAGTCTCTAACACGGGAATGTTAAGAGTTCCACCTCATAGGTACGGTGAGGATTCAATCAGCTGGTAAATGTGTTAGCACTTAAGATAGCGTCTGGCCAGAGCATGCACTTAATCAATGCTAACTACTAAGAAGACCCTCTCCCCTCCCAAACCCCAATGTCCAAGGCACTCACCATCACCACGGCGATCCCGATGCCTACAGCGCCGATGATGTGGAACTTGTTGTGGAAGACCTCTTTGATGGCCTCAGGGCAGGACTTAGGGGGGCAAACCAAGACCCTGGTCACACACGATCCCTGCTCACACCTCCTTCCTCCCACAGAACCCGTTTCACACCCAGAGCATTGGTGGTTCCAGAGATAGGGGAGGGGCAGGAGTGTTCAGGTATCTTGGTTGGTGGATAGAAAGGAGAACCGAGAGAGGAATAAGAGGTGGGTGCCACATATTTGGATAAGAAATCACAGAAGAAAGAGGGGTAAGCCCCTGCTGTGGGTCTGTTTCTTATCTGGGTTACATCTTGTTCTTCTGGAGTTTGGACATTAGCTCTCGTTTACCATCTTGAGCCATTTGCAAGTCTACAAAGCAGATGTCCAGGACTCGGAGCACACCTGACCCTGATGCCTTGAGTGCTGGGGGAGGCTAGAACATGGGGCAGCAATGGGCAGTTCCAGGTGCCAAATGATTGTAGGCAGCTAGACACACTTTGCTGTTTCCCTGGTCTGGCCTTTGTTTTGCTGCCATTGGGGACACAGAAGGCGCCAAGGCAGGGGAGAAATGAGGTGGCCACCCTGGGACCTTGCAGATGGAAGACATATTTGTGAAGCACTTAGATGACTGTCCTTCCAGAACGAGAGGGCAGATTTCAGTTCTACCCTTATGGGATCTGCCCAGAGCAAGCGGGCAGGGGCACAAAGATCTTGCTCCTCATGCTTACCTTCACGGAGATGGATGTGAGTATATCCTTCTGGGGGCAGATGTCCGAGATGAATTGTTCCACTCCCCCAGCCACACCACAGCAATTCAACTGCGGAGAGAAGGGCAGGAATGGGGTAAGAGAAACAAACACAAAAGTGATTGAGATAGAGACACACTGGTCTGGGGACAGCAAATGCCGTGAGCACATGCTCTAAGGATGCAAAGACGACGTACCGCGATGTGGATGGCTTTCAGTGTTTCCCGCTGGGGCTCGTCCTTGTTTTTCAGCTTGCTGTAGGTGTCCGTGTAAAAGTCCTGGAGTTCCTTAATCACCTGTGATGGACCAACAGGGAGAGAGAGCAGCAGAACAAATGAACAAATGTCACTGTTCCGTCTTCTTCACACTCAGCCAACAAATACCCGTGCTCAGGAAATGTTACTGAACAGACTGTCCCCATCCCTATTCTCCCCCTCTCCCCTGTGCCATCTCTGGGACCCCTCGCTCTCCTCCCATATCCTCTAGGAACTCTGTGCCAGTCATTTCCCCTTCTCCTGCACCTAAGGTTGGTCCTTTTAGTCCCACTCAGCTCCTTCCCTTCTATCTATGAACAAAATGCTGTCTCTTCAACTTAAACAAAACACAATTCCTGATCTGGCTAGTTCCTCGGGCTTCTGTCTTTCTATTTTTCTTCACTCAGAGGCTGTGCGACTTTTGGCAAATTAACCAAGCCCCTCCCTCTGTACATCACTTTCTGCATCTTTAGGAAAGAGATTGTATTAATCCCTACCCGAGAGATTGCTGTGAAAATTTCAATGTGACATTACATGGTAAGCTCCTAGCACAGTGTCTGGTACAAAGTAAATTTGGGGTAAGTATTATCTATTATAAAAGAAAGACGATGTTATCATCCTCCTGTAATTGGGTTTGTCCCAACTTAATGGGTGCCTATCTCTTGGTCCCCCCAAAACCTACAATATCAATAAACTGACCAACGTCCAGCCTTCCTCCTTCAGCGTTTCTCATCACTACCCCTGCTTAATTCCGGGACTGTGGCTTCTATCATCTGACTCATGAAATCATTCTTTTTTCTTTTTTAAAAACGGGGTTCCCGCATCTAGTGTCTCTCTGCTTTCCTCCCTCCTGCTCAACACGACAACACAGTCTTTCTAGGACATTGTTCTGGGTGGCCATCCTGGTCCTTGACACTTTGGTCTCCCCATGGAGCCCACGCTCAGCTGAGTCAGGCCCTTTCTTTGCTGGGACGTACCCTGTCTCCCACCAACGTTCCTCTTGAAATCTACTCTCTCATCCAAGGTTTGGGTCAATGCCCTCTTCTCCAGGAATGGGACTTTTGGATATAAGGGAGTCCTGTGACACTTATCAAACGCATGTCTGTCTGCCGCACTAGGTGGCAAAGCTTCTTAAAAATGAGAGCAACAGCTGAAACCGGTTTGGCTCAGTGGATAGAGCGTCAGCTTGTGGACTCTAGGGTTCAGGTTTCGATTTTGGTCAAAGGCATGTGCCTTGGTTGCGGGCACATCCCCAGTGGGGTGTGTGTGTGTGTGTGTGTGTGTGTGTGTGTGTGCAAGAGGCAGCTGATCAATGATTCTCTCTCATTGATGTTTCTAACTCTCTATCCTTCTCTCTTCCTCTCTGTAAAAAAAAAAAAATCAATAAAATATATTTTTTAAAAAAATGAGAACAACAGTTTGTGCAGTGCTTGACTCATGTTTATATTCTAGGTAAAAGAGCAAGGGCGCACAGCCCAGAAAGCCGTGTTTCCCTAAGCTGTCTTTTCCAGAAGAATTGGGGAAGGGCTGCTGAGGTGTGAGACACATGCACAGACACCTGGGCCCAGTGACTATTTCCTGAACATCCACTCTGTGCCAACACTGTTTGGGGAACTAGAAGCATTGGTTGGCACAGTACCACCCAGGGTAGCATAAACGCGCACATTCCCTGCCTTGGGAAGCTCACGTTCTGAGGGCATGTGGGAATGTGGTGAAATAAGAGGAGCGATGAAAGCTGACCAAGGTGGGCAGCCAGGACAGCCTTCCACAGGCATCACCCCTCACCCACAAACTCCCAAACCCGAACCACCGGAGGCCCCGAGATCTTACAGAAACTACTCACCTCATCTTTGTGCTGATATCCCCAGACGGCTGCAGCTACTTCAAGGGCAAATATCACCAAGAGGAAGACAAAGAACTAGAAGGAAAAAGGGGTGGGGTGAGGAACAATCTTAGCCAACCAGAAAGATAAAGGGTATTTTGGCAAACAAGGAAGAACAGCAATTCTCTGGGACAGGGCACTTGGGGACACAGATGGAGCTGTTCACAGCGGGAGAGCGGAGAGAGTTAAGCCCGGGCGAGGAGGGAAAGCTGCAGCAGGGAAGGCCTGGGCTCAGGGGACCCCCACACTGATATCCCTGAGGAGTTAATGAGGAGCCAATGGTAAAATACCACTGCTCACTCACAAAGCCACAGAGATTTGAGGAAATAAGTGAGAACACTCTGGAGTTTGAGGAAAACTGTAACAAGCTTTTGAAAAAAAGAGAAGGCACAGGTACCTGTGGATTCAGGGAAAGAAAGCAAACGTGGCCCTCGAAAAAAGGAAAAACAAAGTCCTGGCATTTAGTCACCTGAGGGAAAGTGATAAGATAGAGAGACTCCAGAGAGGAAGAGAGGGAGGCACCACCACGGGGGAGAGGATAATACAGCTGCCTGGCCAGGAGGCTGGGGTAGGACCCTGAGGGGAGGGACCCTAAGGGGTGCTGAGGACAGCTCATGCCCTTGGGGTATCCTGTTTACCTTACCCTCCCCGCCCAGCTCCACCCACCCCACGCCACCCCATCACATCAGTTCTATGGGACTTCAGGGGTAGGGGGCCCTGGAGTGTGGGGAACACAGAAAGGATACTCACCAATCCCAGCATGCACTGGGACTCCTGCACAGCCCCACAGCAGCCCAGGAAACCCACCAACATCATGAGGGCACCAGCTCCAATCAGAATATAAACTCCTGAGGAGAGAGCACAGAGAACAAGACACGGAGAGATTAGCGTGGAGGCCCAGCTGCTTCCTGCGGTTCCATTTCCCCCTCTCTATGATGTGCTCCTTCCGTATCTTTGTCACCCTCCACCTTTGCTCTCAAGCTCCTTCCCACCAGTCTCTCTTCTAGGACCCCAGGACATCAGGTCCTCACTCCTACCTTACCCTCAACCTTCCTAGAAGGTGCCTTAACTGGGGCAAAGAATACCCCTGGGAGCCCCAGGTTTTACAAGGGGTTTCGAAGGACACAGACTGGCCTAGTCTGCCACCTGTTTCCAGCTGGATGAATCCACTTATGCCAATGAAGACAGACCCTCCTCCCAAACTCCGGGTAAATTCCTGGGACTCTGATGAGCCCCTGCCAGCCTCTACGTGGCAGAAGAGGCTGTCAGAGCAAGCTTCCAGCAGCAAGGGGCTGTTCACACAGCAGCCAGCCCTGCCATGGGTGGCAGCGAGGCATGCACAGTTAGTAACACCCAAGGGCACATGTTGGCAAAGGCAGAGCAGCTTGCTGTAGTGTAGAGAAGAAAGGCCTGGGGTCAGGAGACCCTTGACTGGGTCCTAACTCTGCTACTAAGTTTTGTGTGATCATGGGTAAGACATGTTCCCTCTCTGGGTTTCAACTTCCTTGTCAGTAAAATGAGAGGACGGCCATCTTGCGGTTGCCGGTTGCAATTCGGTTACTCTAGGTTAAGGGTGAAAAGGCTCAATCCTCTTGTTAAAGGTGGGTCGTGAGTGATGCATTCTAAGCCTTCAATTTTAGTGACCAATGGAGAGGGGGCGGTGAGAAGGACAGTGTCTTTTATAATTTCTGACTATGCCCAACAAAAGGCATATTCCTGGGACGGGGGACCCAGTGGAGCAATACTAGCCCTAGTCACCCCCCGGGAATGCCCAGAGAGGCCCAGGTTGCAGTTATATTCTGGAGAAGTCACAGCTATTCTTTAGGAACCACCCCTTTTGAGTCTTCACCAGTGGACCCCATGGAGCATTTCTTTTTATTTTATTTTTTAAAAATATTTTTTATTGATTTTTTTACAGAGAAGAAGGGAGAGGGATAGAGTCAGAAACATGGATGAGAGAGAAACATTGATCAGCAACCTCTCGCACATCCCCTACTGGGGATGTGTCCACAACCAAGGTACATGCCCTTGACCGGAATTGAACCTGGGACCCTTCAGTTGGCAGGCCGACGCTCTATCCACATAAGAGCCAACCAATTAGGGCCTCAGGGAGCATTTCTAACTCTGAAGCCCAGAACGTCTGCGTTTGAGAGTGGGCACTATGACCCTGGGAATGCCACCTAATCTCTGTGTGCAACACTTTTCTATCTGCAAAGCAGGGATGGTAATGTCCACCACGAGGTGGTTGTGAAGATGAAGAGACATGTCGTCAAGGTGTGCACAACACATTTCAGCTACTGTTAATTTTAAGAATAGAAAGGATGGGGGACAATTATGAATCATGATGGTGAATACTTGCTGATCCCTCCCTGCTAACTGGGAGCAGGGCAACTTTCTTGAAATAGGGGCTGAAAGGGAGGGAATCTATAATATTTCCATACAATACACAACAGGACACTGCAGTGAGAACCCTGGGCAGGCGCCTGTGACTTCACTGGTCCACATCTGGACCCCTATTACGAGGGCGAGGCTTTGCAGGCAACAAACCGTGCAGTCTGAAGCTCACGGGCAGCACCTGCAGAACGCACACAAAGGAGCATTTGTGTCTCTGCCCCCTTTGCCCCACATCTGTCGTGATGTCAAGTCACGTGGGTTTACTGGCAAACCCCTCTGCTGTGTGAATATGGGTATTGTTCCCGTGCATGCCTGGCTCAGACTGGGCAAGGGGACAGGACAAATGCAGCTTGTCCTTGAGTCAAGTTCCATCCTCCTGGGCAGTCCCATTCTGTGGGACCCAAGCCCGTGCATCCGTTGAGGCAGTGACATGGCCTCAGCTTCTCCCCATCTTATTGGGACAAGACAAGGAGGACGAGTCACTTCTCTGAGCTCCAAAACAGGGACTGAATAAACAGGGATTATTAAGAGATCAAAAGAATTTTCAAACACACGAAATCTGTTGAGTGGGAATTAACAGAGACATGTTTTCTCTAAGTCCAGATCCCAGTTGGTAGGCCTGGAGACACTAGCAGAAGTCGGAGAGTTGGGTGAGTAGCATAGGGAGCTGTGATAGGGAAAAGCATTTGCAGTGCAGAGAGATAGGTAGCTAGAGAGAAAGAAAGAATATTCTCCTAGCCGAAACCAGTTTGGCTCAATGGATAGAGCATCGGCCTGCGGACTGAAAGGTCCCAGGTTCGATTCCGGTCAAGGGCATGTATCTTGGTTGCAGGCACATCCCCGGTAGGAGGTGTGCAGGAAGCAGCTGGTTGATGTTTCTCTCTCATTGATGTTTATAGCTATCTATCCTTCTCCCTTCCTCTCTGTAAAAAAATCAATAATATATATATATATATATATATATATATATATATATATAAAGAATATTCTCCTAATGGAGAATAAGAAATATTCATTTCTTGGGCTTAGCAGATGAAGACTTTAGGACAAAGGGTGCTGTTGGCTTTAAGTCTTGCTCAAGCAGCTGCAGATCGGGGGTGTCTGGGCTTCACGCTCTCCAGTTCCCTGGCAGCTGTTTGTGCGGATTTTAGCAGCAGCTATATGATGGGTCATCTGCAAGGGCCCTCCCTGGAAGTTGGGGGAGTGGGCTGCTGTTAAAGGGCCAGTCCTGCAGGGATCCCCCTTGCTAAGCTCCTCTGAGCCTCCACCCCAGCTCATTAGCAAGGGCCGGCCATGCAGATAACAAAGCGTTCTCCTTTATAAAACAAGTGAATGTGGGCTTTCCATCTGACTCATGGAAAAAGTTATTTGTCACAGAGCATTCTCTAGGATTACTGTATTAGTTTGCTCAAGGGCTGTTTATTCTGCCTCCCCCCCCCCCCCCCCCCAGGCTGACATTATAGCTAGTTTTTACAAAAAGCCCTTGGTGTAGCAGTGACAGATGCCCGGGTGTCCTTTCACCTGTTTATCAAGGCTCGGCATTGGCTGGATGGAGGACACATCAGCCTCTTGTCACCACCTCAACCCCATCTTGCAAAAAGCACTCACTACACCTGTTTGCGTGGAGAACAAAACCCAGTGGAGCTCCTGGCCTCCACTTGCTTAGAACAGTTGATTATCTCCAATGAACATAATCAGGGCTCCCAGGAACCCCAACAGCTGTCTTGGTCCCTCTCCATCCCATTGATGGCCGTTTTCATTAACGAGCGCCCCTGCAAACCCTATCTGCCAAGCACAGAGGTCTCTGCCTCCTAGAGGTGTGGGTGTGTAGACTCTGCCAGTTTCAGGATAAGGAAGATGAAGAGACACAGAACAACCAGACAAGCTGCCCCAGATCATAAGCTGGAAACAGGGAAGTCAGCTGAGTGCAGGCAATGTGTCAGGCACCGTGTCATAAAAGGGGAACGGTCCTTGAGAGTGTGCATGTCCACAGCCTCTGGTTCACCATCCCCCCCACTCCTCTCCCGGATGCCCTCATGCAGTGGCTAGGCTCTGGGAGGACACCAAGGAGTTAAGAAGAAGGGCTGCTGGCCCGAGACCAAGAAACGGGCCTCCCCACTTCCCCAGCATGTTTGCAGCCGGGGATCACGAATACTGCTGACGGGCTGACTCTCTCGGGGCCTGAACAGCAGACAAGGCCCTTATAAGGCTGCCTGTCAGCTGTTCTGCTTCACTATGGCCTGTTTTGAATGTTGGGACATTTATTTTTCACTTGCTTCTCTGTCTGGCTAGCCATTGTTTCGCTACTTTCAAAGCTGTGGTCCTTCAGGTTCCCTGATGGGCCAGCTGCCTGGTCAGGCTGGCCTGTGGATTGCCTTGCGGATGGTCGGTGCCCCTGGGCAAGGGATGGTCACCTCCTGATGCTGGGAATAGCGGTGGGGGTGGAGCTGGCACGCTGCAGGAAGAGGGCGATGGGTCAATACCAAGGCTGGTGTCACAGGCCAAATGGGAAGGGGACACAGTGTATGAAGCCTCCTTAGCTCTTTGCCCATGGACCGTAATGACTGAATTTCAGAATGCACTCAGGGAAGGGCAGGTCCAGGCTAGACCCAAGTGACCACCCAGCTGACGGATGCTCTAGTGTCACTTGCATCATCCTTTGCTCCCTGAGCTTCTGCGACCTGAACGCAGTCTTCAAAGCTGAGCTCTTTCCCAGGCAGGGGGTCCAGTTGCAAAGGGTTCATTTCCTCTGTTAGAGCTTAAAGCTGTGTTAATGCGAAAAAAACACATGCATTGTGTCTCTGTGAGACTGTGCCTTCCAATCCTTATCCTGGTCACGGAAGGTAGGACCAGTGGCCATGGAGGGTGGGAGGTGGGGAGGGCCTGCAATGACCTGTGAGGCTCTCAGAGGCAGGTCCTGGCTCCCCAGACAGTGTGCTCATCGCTCTCCTGACACTCGACACGACTTTCCCACCTGTCATCTGCTGGCTGGGGCCACCGATACTTGTGGTTTCCCTCCTCCAACTATAACTTGGGCGTAATCAAAGGCCAGAAGAGCCCCCACCCTGCCCCCACCCTTGGGGAACGTCTGGTCAGTGTGTAGATATTTTCCATTCCTACATAGGGGAGGCCTCCCCACAATCCAGTACAGGTAATACAAGAAACAACTTTCACAGGACTGGGTTCCAATCCCAGCCCTGCCTTTGGAGGGTATGGCGCTCGGACAGGTAACTTAACTCCTTAGGCCTTGGTTTCTTATTAGTGAAATGGGGATCACTCCATGTATTATAAAGAGCTCCCAGGATGACATTACATAACCACACGTGAGACAGGGAAGGACACACAGAGAAGGGGTAGTGGGAGCGGGTGGGAGCCAGGCCCCCTGCAAAGGAACTATGGGAGGTGCCCTATGGGGGGCGCTCCTCAGGAGGCCCTGCCAGGAGTGGCTGCCCCCACCTCACACTCCTCTAGCAAGTCTGCCCTCCCCTCTCGCTGCCGAGGGTTCCCAGCAGCCTGGTGCAACATGACATGACATGGCAGGAATCAGAGTGCTCCTGGTCTCCCCAGCACCCCGCCCCCGCCCCCGCCCCTCTAGCTCTGCTGGCGGCATCCCAGGGCCGCCACAGATTCACAAAAGGCAAGCTGTTGCTAAAACAAGTCCGGGCACAATGGAGATCTGCTCCCCAAAACTCTGTGCCCAGTTTAAAAACGCACATAGGCATTGTGCTTTTCTTCCTCTCGTTTTTTTTTTTTTTTTTTTTTTTTTTTTTTTTTTTTTTCTCACGGTAGGGAGGCACACCCTAAAAAACCCCAACTAACGATAACAGCAAGAAATAATAAAAGCCGGGAAACCATCCAGAGGGCCCAGGGCCCTGGAACTACGAGGTTGGCCTTTCAGGCTGGCCTCCGGGAGGCGGGAGAGAGGACTGCAGGCTGACAGCCACCACGCTCTTCCTGAAGGCTGGGGCGATAAGTCTCTTCAGACTGTTTTCATCTTTTTTTTTTTTTAAATAACTTCTTTGGTGGGTGGGAAGGAAGTGACCAAACTTATACTTTGAGCCTGATGGTGTGGCACCACCATTCTAAAAATAGGGGGGCTGCTTTTGTTTCTCGCAAATGAAATGTTTCCTATTCCCAAACCGGGCAGAGTGGAGAGTGGCAGAGCCTGTGTTGTCCCAGAAACTGGGCAATTGCGTTTGACAGGCCTCCCTCCGTGCTCCCGCTCATTTTAGAGAGGCGTTTTACATGGCGATATGGCAGTGAAAAGTGACAGAATGATGCCAGAAAAAATGCCATGGAGCCTGTGGGTACAAAGAAACCTGTTAAGTCAATTCTTGCTGAAATTGGAAACCTTTTCCCTCAAGTAGGAATGCTTGGCCTTTATACCAGCACCAGGGGTCCAGAGGGCTGGCTCTCTACTACTCTCTCTTACTAATTTTAACCGTTACTATCCAGGAGGCAGGTCTTTGGGGTCTCAGAGCCCCCTGTCTGAACAACTGGGAGGAGTCACCTCTCCTTTGCCTGGCACTGTGGATTCCCCAGGACAAAGCTTTTTGAATTGAGGAGATGATTAAGCCTGAGAAGACATGAAAGGAAGAGAGGATCAGGGTCCAGGACAGAGATTCTTTCCGTTTTGTTGTTAATCCTCACTTGAGGATATTTTTTCCATGGATTTTCAGAGAGAGTAGGAGGGAAGAAGGGGATAGGGGAGAGAAACATCAATGTGAGAGAGACACATCGATTGCCTCCCACTTGTGCCCCGACCTGCAAGCCAGATACGTGCCCCAAACTGGGAATCAAAGCCACAATTCTTCAGTGCTCAGGTCAATGTTCTAACAAGTTAGCCACACTGGCAAGGGCAGGACAGAGGTTCTTTAAAAAAAAAAAATTATATATATAATTGATTTTTTACAGAGAGGAAGGGAGAGAGATAGAGAGCTAGAAACATCGATGAGAGAGAGACATCGAACAGCTGCCTCCTGCACACTCCCTACTGGGGATGTGCCCACAACTAATATACACGCCCTTGACCAGAATCAAACCTGGGACCCCTTTAGTCTGCAGGCCGATGCTCTATCCACTGAGCTAAACCGGTTTCGGCAAGGACAGAGGTTCTTAAATCCCCAAGAGTGGCAACAACTTTGGTGGAGCCAACTTCACATCAGAGAATAGTCGAAACTCCAGGCTTAGTCAGCATGAAAAAAGAAACCACATCAGTCAAATGCAAATTCATGGGCATAACTACACAGAGCAAGGCTTGCAAGGGACATGACTGACCAATGTGGCCAGAGCAAATGTCTTTGCCAAGGCCAAGTCCCTGGATCAACAAGGCATCTCTGCAGCTGGAGGAAGCACCAAATCTCCCCATGGTTACCTGTGTAGAAGCTGGCTTGACTATTTTCTTGCTCGAAGATGCTCTTCGTCTGAGAGTCGAATCGGAGCCATAGTCCAATGGCAAGGACTGCAATCCCAGCAAGCTGCAAGAAATACAGGGTGTTGGCATTAATTCTGGCTGCCAGGGAGAGCATGGTGTCTGAGTGCTGAAGGTGAGACCACACTTGATTTCTGCTCCTCACCCATGTACCCGTAGCAGCAGCAGCCTGTGTAGGATTAGGAGTAGGGGATCAATCCATTTGGTCTCCTAAAAATATCAGTAAGCTGGGAATAAATAATCACCTACTAGCAATACAGCAAAATGGTTACTTTATGAACAATAGAATGTTATACAGCTGTGAAAACGAAGTATAGCAATACGCAATCCTATAGTGCATCTCACCATGTTAAACAAACGAAAAACCCCAAGAATATAGTCAATGTATTCCATATAGTTAAATATTACTCTACTGTTTAGGGGTATAGAGATGACAAAGGGGAAAAAGGGAAGTGATTGTTATATAAAGTCGAGTGTTGGTGACCTATAGTAGGAGGAGGAGTTCTCACCAGGAAAGAGCACTTGGGGGCAGGGTCTGGGGCACTAGCAATATTCTAGCTTTTGACTTGGGTGGTGGTGACATGGGTATTCACTTCATAGTTACTCTTTAAGCCATTCATGTTTTATGCACTACTCTGTGTACATACCATACCATAAAACAAGAGACAAGCTGGTCAAAGGGCATACCCATGCGCCAACGAGGGCAGCTGTGATGCCTATCAGACCTCAGAGTCCCCCCTAGGGCGTCCACATTTGCTCCTTTCCCTTTCCACACAGGGAAACCTTACAAGCTGACTTGCCCAATTCTAGGTTTTAGGTACTTGCTTCCTTACGAAGGAGCCTCCAAATATCAGACGAAAAACCTCCAAGTAATCTTCCAATCTTTTGGAAATCCTATTTCATAGGTGGGCAAGTTGAGATACTGGACTGTAATGGGCGGACTTTCCCAATAAAGAACCAAACTAAGGTGCCAAATCCCGGCCTGGCATTGTTGAACTAGATGCCTGTGGAGGTGGCCTCCTGTCAAGCCCTCTCTCCACCCTCAGGGCTGGCTGAGCTCCGTCTCTCAGTCTCTCATGCTCGTACCAGGGCTTGCTGGGGAGTGACTCAGGCTGCAATGTAGTGGCCAGCTGGATGCCTGAGGGGGTGGGCTCCTGGCCAACGCCCAGGCACCAGGTTTCTCTGGCCCACCCTTCTCAACAGAGACGTCTTACGTCAGAGCCCTGCTCTTCAGGAACCTTGGTTCTCTGCCCCTGGAGAGGTAGACAACCCAGTGGTGTGGACTGGCCTCTCTTTCCTTCCTTTTTTGCTCCCTTCCTTTCCCCCATGACTTGGCAGTTGGGAGAAAGAGGAGAGACAGCAACAGTGGAAAGACTGACCCAAGACCTCTGCATGCAGTGGTGAAAGCCTTGCCTACACTGATGTACACTGCCCTGTGTGTGTTTCCCTAGTGACGGGCTGGAATTCCTGCTCAGAGTTCTTCTCTTCAGTTTCTCACCAGTAAACAAGGAAGGTGGCCCTTTCTTGCCTTTTAAGTATGTCAACAAATAAAGGGAACTGTATACTACCAGTATTAGAAGTGACTGTGAGAACAACTCAGCATCCAGGTCGCCTCTTTGTAGACACAACTACACTCCTACCCCCTTGAACAGTCACTCAGCATCTTCCCAAACCTCCCAGTCCTCACCTTAGGGAAGGCAACACCAAACAGCAGTAAAAAATGACACATCACCACATGGCCCATGGTTAGGCAGTACAGAAAAGAAAAACTCATGGGTGCCAGACTTGAAGGAGCAGGACATTCAGAGTTAAAGCAAACCAGAAAGCTTTAGGTTCAAGCAAATGTGGCAGGTCTTCCCTCTTATTAAGACAAGACATGCAGGTGAGGAGGATCTCCTGGCTTAGGCCAAAGACAATGGACATGGCTCCATGAGTCTCTCTCCGTTAGAGCAGGGACATGCCTTTAGGTGGGGCCCAGCTAGGACATCCCCATATACTGGGTACTGCATAAGCATGCACGTGACTTCATGGTTGGCAGGCCCTCCCTGGCCTACCTCCCCTGGTCCCAGGGAGTTAAAAAGAAAGAAGGCGATGCTTTTCCCGCTCCCCCACCCCAACACGTGGAGGCCCAATCAGACCCTTGGAAAATGGGAGACAGGCTTCTGGCCTCTTTATAGACACAAAAGCATCAACCTGTTGTTCCATGTTTTGGTTAGCACTTAGCCACAGTCCTCCCTCTCACCCTCATCTTGGAGTCGCTGTGGCAGAGGGGTAGTATCCTTTATTTTCTAGGCTTGTGCTTATCAAAGAATTATCTTCAAGTCATCTCATTCTTCTGGTGGATAAAGTTACTCAACCTCCCCACCCCTTCCTCTGCCAGGAAAGTTCTTAAATCAGTCACCATAAAAAGAATAAAAACAATCCCACCCAAAGGAACGAAGCCACAGGTGTGATGGAAGGCTGCACTGTGCACAGAAGATTCTCCTGGGCAGAAACTGGGTCTCTTTGGGAGTGACATCATGCTTGGCTAATGACGGGGCTCCCTCTAAAACTTCCACGGGTTAAGCCCCTCCCACTTCATAATTTCAAGGATCCTGAGTCAATCGGTAGAAGGCCAGTCATTTCTCTGGTCTACACACACAGGTGGCAAGAAGAACATTTCCCAGAGAACTGAAACCAGCAGGGGAAACACTCCAGTTCTCACCTAGTCAAAGACAAGGCCAGACACAGGAACTCGGGTCCTGCAAGTCTAGACCCCATCCAGAACACTGCAGAATGGGGAAAGCAGCAGCTGGCTCTGGAGAAATGGAAGAAGCAGCAATAGATGGCAGTCTCATACCTAAAGCCTCACTATAAGAGAGGGGGAAGGGAGGTCAGCGGCAGGACTGGAAGCACTTGGTTCACCAGAGAAATGAGCCTGGCTGATTTTTTGTTGTTGTTAGATCACTAAGTTAACTGGCTTGAGGAGATGCTGTGTAAGCCAACAGTGGCCCCATTTTCTGTAATGCTATTGGAGAGACCGTTTCATTTGGCTGGGCCACAATGGCTGGGGGGATCACAAGGCCATGAAGTGAGTGTAATTGGCGCTCCCTAGTCATGGCTTACATGGTTGTGGGGGCAGCACAACTGAAGGGGTGCAGAGTATTCTGAGGAGAACTCACTTCTTGGTGTGGTGCAGAGGGGCTCCCCAGCCCCCAACCTGACTCTCAACCCCGTTACTTGAACACTAGAAGAAACCAAATGGGAAGGGACCATTAAGATTCAAAGAGAACTTCCACCTTTAAAAGGGGCACTCAGTCAATGTTTAAGGGACTCCAATACAATAAGAAAACAGGGCCTGGGAGGCCAGGAAGTTGACTGTTTCCTCCCAGGTTAATAACTGATACATGGCAGGAATGTTGGCCATATAGTTGCCAAGGGTGCTACTTTACTCTTGCCCATCCTTGTAGGATCTAAGTTGAGCAGGTTTGCTACGGATGCTCAGTTAGACAATTCCTGCTCACAGAGCTCATTAAAGGGGACAGAGACCTGCCCAAGATCACCAATGGGTCCGGTGGGGATGGAAGTAAAAAGTCCAGCACCTCTACTCCAGCCTTGCCCTGCCTGGTTACCTCTCGTTTCCAATTACGGCCCAAGGGAGATGTTCTGGTTTTGCTGAGAAAAGCTCCTTTGCCTGTGGGCTAGAAATGAGTCTCACCCATTGCATAGTGCAGGGAGAAAAAGGGTAGTGTTTTTCCCCCCTCCCTATTGTTCTACTGGAAATGTCTTCATTTCTTCAAAGAATTCTTTTCTTCCCAGAAGATGGGCCATGAGAAAAACAAGTCACACATCCAAAGGAGGGCATTCTACAAAAGACTTGACCAGAACATCTCAACACAGTCAAGGTCATGAAAAAACAAGGAAAGACAGAAACTGGCATAGACTAGAGGACATGAAGGAGACTGCCCCGTGCATTGTGAAGGGGATCCTGCAACTAACGTGTGTGTATTCTATGTAATAAAAGAGTAATATGCAGATTGACCATCACTCCAACGCACAAGATGACTGCCCCCATGTGGTCAAAGATCCTGCCCCTATGTGAACACAAGATGGCCACCACAAGATGGCCAGCAGGGGAGGGCAGTGGGGAGGCACTACGCCTGCAAGGGAGGGCAGTTGAGAGGGATCAGACCTGCAAGGGAGGGTAGTTGGGGGCGATCAAGCCTTCAGGAGAGGGCAGTTAGGACCAGGCCAGCAGAGGAGGGGAAGTTGGGAGCAAACGGGCTGGCAGGGGAGCAGTTAGACATCAACAGGCTGGCAGGGCCATGGTTAGGGGGTGATCAGGCTGGCAGGCAGAAGTGTTTAGGGGAAATCAGGAAGGCAGGCAGGCAAGCAGTTGGGAGCCAGCAGTCCTGGATTGTGAGACGGATGTCTGATTGCCGTTTAGACCTGATCCCACAAGATCGGAGAGGGTGCAGACTGGGCTGAGGGACATCCCACACCCCCATGCATGAATTTCGTGCACCAGGCCTCTAGTCTAATATAAAGAAGGTGGGGCCTCTCCCAAGGCTCCCTTGTCTCCTTCAAGAACCTGCTCCATTAATCCACCTCTTTCCTGCCTCTGCACTCTGTCTCTGCCACTGTTTCATCCTTTGCCAACACACATGGGCAGGTGTGTCTATCCTGAAACACCAAACAGAAAACAAAACCTCTCTTCCTTCAAACTCACACCAAAAGGCTGCAGACAGCTTAGGTCGTTGCCAACTTTTAAGGCTTTTTGCTCAGTCTTCACATTGTTTGATCTCCCAGCCAGGCAGATTCTGGAGGGAGGGGTTGAGGGGGAGGGAGGGATGATGATGATAACAATCACAAAGACCCTTGAGAAAGACACGAGACGACAGTGGGGCAATTCATGGCACTTGGCGGACGTCAGTTGCGTGTCCTCCTGTGATCTGAGGAGGTGGCTGGGCGGGAGCAAGGCGATTAGGACACTGGGGTTCTCTTTTCTGGTTTCTGTGAGAGCCTGGTGAGTGTAGTGTGGTGGGGAGGTGGGATAAATTTACCTTC